AAAATTGGGAATAAATCATCAAATGTTTTCAAGCCTACCTGGCGCGGTAGCAAACCCTTTTCAAAAGCAAGCATGAAATGTTTTGTTCCCAATTGGGCGACTCTGTCATATACTTATATGCTGTGCGCACACATAAGTAACCTAGGCTAAAAACCGAAATAAGACTCACAATGTTTCAAAAATTTGATATCATGGTTAGTAGAGGCCGGTCTATGACCGGGCGAGCGGGGGTGCTCACGAAGTGACCTTCCCTAATCGTACCCAAGTTCCCGAGCCGATGCAACTTTGGTGATGACGGACACGTGGCCTTTTGGCACCGAGTCAGGGTTTCCTAAATTTCCCAAAATAAAATATTTAGGTGGCGACTCTGTATCTGGCAAAGCAGTCCATGTTTGGCACTTCTTTCAAAAATCTGTTTTTCTCAAAAACGATTTGCCGGATTTGGACTCTTTGGTTCAGACTTAGAACCGTGACTACGAAAGTCGAGTCCGAGCTGTAGCGAGGTCCCCCGCGGGCTTGTTACAATTATTTACTTCACAACGAAGTGGGTGTTAACCAGCCAACAAACAATTGAAGACAAAACAGATTGGAACCAGCAAAAGAAGGAAAAGAGATTGGTTTAAGGAGTTTGAGGGACTTGCATGCAGGTTGTGTACATATATATAGGCATGCAATTCCATTTAGATTAGGCCTTCTTTTTTGCTTTTCTTTTTTTTCCTTTTGAGAAATTATAACAACAACAACAAAAATTCTTTCTTAACAAATAAATTTTGAGTTTTTAATTTTATCAATATAAATCTAAATATTTCATCCATCTTTTTTCTTGTCATTTCTTTTTCAAATCCCAATTTAAATTCATGATCCAAATACAATTTTGCGTTTTTTGTTAATCAGATTCAATGGAAGACTATTAACAAAGCATGTGTTCATGACATGCGCTAATTGAACATCAAATTTCTGCAAAGTTGTATTTCATTCTCTACATAGTTGTGGTTATCTTCTATGGCATGGCACACACAAAATAAATTAATTAATTAATTTCAAGAAAATATTGCATATATTATACATAATGTGATTAGCTTCTCTCTCATTTCTCCTTTATCTCCTTGTTTAAATCTCTCCCTATCCTACAATAAGAGTTCAAATATAATTCAATGCTAAAATACACTACAAGCAAAACACAAGATATGTCTGTTTAGTGACAAATACCTAACTTCTCAAATGATTATTTTATGTGACACACAAGATATATCTTGTTTCTTTAGTTCTAAATTAAAAAGAGTGATGGCTACCTCGCCGCAAGGGACAAGAATCCCGTGAGAGACCCAACATATCTTTTTAGCACTAAAGTGTTTGTAAGACATGGATTCCATGTGAGACATAAGATATATATTTTTAATATTAAATATCTTGTCAAATGATTAACTCTTACCACATAAATAGAATAGGAATCTCATGTCATACACAAGAAATCTCTTTATTAGAAGGAGCCTTGATAAATTATTAATTTTTAGTGATAAAAAAAAAAAAGAGTAAAAGGAAAGATGGAAAATGGAAAATGAAAAATGTAAAGACCCTCCTGTTAACATGATTAGAGTTAAAATAACTTATCACTATGTTATATAATGAGAGTAAATCTCATGTGAGGCACAAAATATATCAATTTTGTACTTGATAACTTGCCAAATAATTAATTGTTACCACACAATACAGGATATGATCCCTATTGTAAGGCACAAGATATCTCTTTTGTATCAAATGCCTTGTTTAACAATTAACCCTTAATGATCAAAAGTAGTAAAAGAAAAATCAAAAGGAAAAAAATGGGGTCCTTTGATCACACTACTAGAATTGGAGGAAGTCCTCACCACTACACGTATATAGTACTGAACAAAGATCTCATGTGGAATATAAAATGTCTTACCAAATGATTGCCCTTTAGTACACATGTGAGACATGAATTCAATTGTGACACACAAGATACGTCTCTTTAGTACCACGTGCCTTCCTAAATGATTAACTCTCAGTGATCAAAAGAAGTAGAAGAAAAAGATAAGGCAAAAGAGGATCCCTTCCTGCATCATGATCAGAGTTAGAGTAACTCATTACTATCATATAATATGAGACAGAAATCACCTTTGAGAAATAAGATGTCTCTTTAGTATTAGATGCCTTGTCAAATTGTTAACTCTTAATAATAAGAACAAATACAATAAAAAAGAAAGAGATGGGAACCAAGTGTGCAACATTTCTCTTTATACTAGATGCTTCACTTGTTATCATAGCCCTCTTACGTTTTTGTTATAAGCTACTCATTGCTATTACACAATATTATGGGATAGGAATCCTTCTTGAGTGAGACGTGAGTTATATCTCTTTAGTATTAGAAACTTTATCAAATTATTAACTCTTAGTGATCAAAACAAATTACAAACCAAGTATATGAAAAAGAACAGCATGCAACATTCCTTCATTTGTCCCCTTCTCTCTCTAACTCAACCTTCTTTCAAGTACTCAGTAATTTAAAAAAAATTTAAAAATAAAAAATAAAACACACCTCTTTAAACTACTGCATGCTCATTTTATTTGTATCACGCAACCACAAATTGGAATATATTGACATGGAAATTCATATGTCCAGTGATAATATTGCACAACACAAATTGGTAAAATTTCTAGATCAAGTTAATTAATCAAAAGTGTAAGTCAAATAAAATTCGGAAATAGAATTTTTATGTATTACATTTGAACTAAGTATTTTTTTTAAATAAAAATAAATTATGGGGCACATTTGAACCAAGTTAAATGTTTTGTTATTCATATTTATATTTACAAACACAACATTTCATCTATATTTTATATGGTCAATAGAAAACTAGTGGAAAGAGACAAAAATCAAAATCAGAGTTTCCATTAAAAGTATTGATGCCAATTTCAAAATATTTATATGTCGTACTCTATAGTAATCATTTTATAATATTTGACTTAAAATTTTAATATAAAGCATGTGGTTTGTAGTTGTAGTACTGTCGCATGCATTTGTTTGCAATTTATAGAAATTAAAAGCCACAATACTCAAACCAAGTCATAATAGAAAAATATAGCATGCATTAGATGTATAATATAATATTTTTTTCGTACAAGGTTCATTGTCAATAAATTATATATTATTAGTGGTCAAAAACTTTAAAAGAAAGACAAAGGAAAAATTAAAAAAGACAAAAAGATAAAAGAAGTGATGTTTTAATGTACAAAAAATGAGAAACCTCTCTAAGAAATTCTAACCGTTCTCTCTTTCTTTGCTCTTTAGAGGAAGAGGGTGGTACTTTTAATCTTCCTCTCCCCTTCATTTCTTTTCTTGTAGTTTCAGTTTCTTTTCTTGTGGTTTCTATTACCATACTAGCCACTATCGCTCTTCTTGTCTCCATCATTAGTTTCTTACCGAGAAAACTTTCAAATTTAATCTCAAATCTAATTTATGACCAAGATTTGTGTTGTTATACGCTAGGCAACCACCTCAAATTTATAATGTTTTATTTTGTAATGTAGAGGCGGGGATTAAGGTACTAAAATTACCGGTTGCAGTAGTGAACAGATCGTGAGGGTGATGTGTATTATTTGTTTGATGGTGATCATTTTCTTTTGTTTATTTATTTATTTATTTTTTTTTGGTATTATTTTTTTTGTGTTGCAATAATATCTCTCTATGTAGAGGATTCTTTTTTTCATGAAGGTTTTATCCTCCCTGCGTGGAGGTTTATTTTTTCCCCTATGTGGAGACTCATATATCTTTCTTACATGGAGCTTCTCTTTATCCATTTTTAGATCTATTTTGTACTACGATATATTTTATTGGATGACTTATTATCGGATATACAATATATTAAGTCTTGTGCTTTTCTAGCTAAAGAAATGTACTTGAAAAAAAAAAGGAAAAAGAACGCAACGCAATATTTAGGAAATTTTAAAACATGGGGAACAATTTACAGGATTCCATTAATTTAGTGAAATTATGATAATAATTTTACATTATTTTATAATGATCAAATAATTCATAATTTGAAAAATGAGCGTTAAGTCTACCTTTGAAATTGTTTTGGCTCGTGAGTCCACCATCAACTTGTATGGGAACATGAAACATCAAGTGGTTAATGAGGGAAAAAAAAAAGAGAAAGCGATGCAAAACTCTCGTTTGTTATGTAGTTATTTTAGTTAATTTTTTAATTTTTTTATAAAAAAAAATGTATATAAAAAAAATAAAGAGTAATGTGATTAGGTGTTTAGGGTCACTACAATAAAAACAGAGTATAGTGACGTTTTTTTTTTTTACGACGTTTTTCAAAAACGTTGTGAAATCTGCCCCGATTTTTCAAATTCCAAAAAAAGTAACTAAACCATCTTGTTTTGTGTGCCGGTTGTAAGAAAACAGAGAGTTAAAACTGTGCCGTTAAAATAAGATTATTAAATTATTTGTTATTTCTTTTAAGTGTACTTGTAGGGAATTCAAATAAATTAAAAACAAAAAATTTTCTACTCTGGTAAAACAGATGTGCGACTTTAGAAAGAGAGAGAAATTGAGTCTTGGATCTTTGAGGCATCAGACCTTTGATCTCCATCAGTTCTTCGGTTGTTTGATATGAAAAATCTTGTTCTGCTCTTGATTTGAGCGTATATCGTCCAGATTGTTCGAATCCCTATGATCTAAATCAATCAATAGGGCTCAAGGTTAGCGTTTTCAGGAGCGTATATCTTACAGATTGTTCGAATCCATATGATCTAAATCGGTTTAGGGCTCAAGGTTAGGGTTTTCTACTATGGATTTGCTATATTCACACAAGATCTATAAAATTCCATGGCTAAAACTAACGATTTGGGATTGTTTCTCTCGATTTAGTTGATTTTCAGTTTTTTTTTTTTGCTTTTGTTTTGTGTTTTCTCTTTTCGTTTTTGTTCCTTTACTCTTTCTAGTCCTTATATGGAAAACTCTTCTCTTTCATCAGATTGAGCAGCAGCAATGGCGAATCGATTTATCTAGGATTTCGAGGGTGGTGTTAGTGTCTCTGATCATGTACAGGAAAAGCAATTGGCATTGGATGTGGATCGTTGGAAACAGTGACTAGAAGCTCAACGATGAAGAGATATAGATCATAGTTATTCTTGTGGTTGATTTTCACTGAAGTTAGTTCTGATTTCTAACAAGTAATCTTTGCTCAAAATCATGATTCCCTTCAACTTTGTTTTGCGGGTGATCTTCTAATGAAGTTGGGTGCTAGGGTAGAGTTGGCAACTACAGCTGTGCCACAACTTTTTCTGCCTTTAGCTTGTGTTACCAATGTGGCCATGGTTCAACCCTTCTTTGTCTCTCATTTTCTTCCCATTTTATAAATTCCGGCTAATCTATGTGATGAATTAGCTTTATTGCTTTACTTTCATATTGTTTCACTTGCAGAATGTTGGTGCTGTCACATCATCCTCGACTCGCACTCCAATATACAAAGCCTTTGCCAAAGGTGAAAACATTAGGGATGTTACTGCGAAGGGAGAATGTGTTGGCAATGTTGCCGATCTGGTATGCTTCTCCAACTTCCATTACAATTTCCAGAAGCTTGTGTTTGCACCGAGCCAATTGAGAACATATTTTGATGGCTGCTATAGTGACTATTGCCACATAGTTAAATTGATCTGCATATTTTGTACTTGTTTCCAGTCCTAATATTATTCGGAGAACAGAGAGGCATTACTGAAGGAGACGGGTTTCATTACTCTGTATAGTTAATCGAGTGCATCAAAAATATAGTCAATCCCATTAATTTTCCCTTGGCATTTTACTAGACCTTTTTTTAGTGACACAAGAAAATCAGAGTAAGGCATTACGCTATATTTTATATATATATATATATAACTAAGTGGAACATATGATATACATAGAGACATCATGTTACGAGAAGCACTTGCACTCGGCTCGACTGCAATAGACAAAAGTTGTTCTTTTGTTATCCAACAAAAATGGTAATTAGATATTGGTCAGTACTAGTAGTCTTGGAAGTTGACCTTCTTGTTATTATGATTTAGCTGATGCTATAAATTGACCTTTTTGCAACTTCTCATTTTGAAAGATTGAAACTAAAAAAAAAATGTTTGGTAGTTTTTCCTATAATTTGACGGATGCTACGGATTGAAACTTCTCATTTTTTGTTTTTGTTGTACTCAGTTACAGTTTATCTTGCATTTGGGCACATAGTTTTGTGACTCATGATTATTTGGAGTAAAGTCTGCAAGTTGCTTTATAAGGACATGTGCTAAGACTGCTTGTGCCTTTATGCTTCTTGATTGTCACTATGAATCTTTTAATTTTCTATTGTCAATAGTGTGCAGTTTATAACCTTTAAAATGGCTTCATTTGGAATTGTAAATGAAGGGAAACAAATTGGTGTCTATCTAGTCTTATTTTAAATTGAAAATATAAAAAAGTATTCAAATTGATGTGTTAGTATGATCAACAGCATCTTTTATAATCTGGAATTAAATGTTTAATTTTCAACTTCTTGCTTGGGTTCTGTAATAGAAGTGCTTGATGTCTACTATGCGTTTCCCAGTCAAACTTCTAGGACTAGTTAATTTGAGCTTTTTAGAATTGTTCCCTTAGAAGATGAATTTAAGATCCTACATATTGTTATAAATTAATTTCTCTCTCTCTCTCACGTGTGTGCGCATGCCATGCTGTGGCAATGAAGGGAGACATCCTGGAAGATCCAACAAATGAGCCAAACAAAGATATGTACATGATGACTATTGAGCCAGAAGATGCACCTAACCAACCTGAGTAAGTTTGCTTGTTTGATGTGCATTTCAATTCCTTTAATTTAGTCAAATCTTGATTTATGCATTTGCTTCTTTGTTCCCCCCCCCCATGTAGATATGTACAAATTGGGATGGTTTCAGGGCTTCCTGTTTCAGTCATTGGAAATGAATTCTCCCCTGCATCTCTGCTTTCTGAGCTGAATAAAATTGGTGGGTGTTGACACCCCATTTTTGACCGTCCTCAAGACTTGGACGTCACCGTTTGAACACTCGGTGATTACCCTTGTTTGTGTTCGTTTGGAGCTCTCGGAGGTCTCGGCTACGCACCCTGCCTCAGGATCTCCAAACTCGACCGTTTTGTGTCTGGTTTTGCACCAAACACTTGTGTTTTGCCTTGGAGGGGCAGGGAATGCCTTGTGAGGCATCCCCACACACCACCGGCAGTGGCTAGAGGTCACCGGCTGGTTTTTGCTTCCATCGGCACTTTTTTGTTGCCGGTCGGCAATAAATTTTGTCAAAATGACATTTTTGGGCAGCCGACCACTGTTCATCTACTTTATGTAGATATTTTGTGCCAGCTGTGATAGCTGGCACCAACTCTGCTTCCCTCCATACACGTGTATGGAGGGAAGCAGAGTTGGTGCCAGCTATCACAGCTGGCACAAAATATCTACATAAAGTAGATGAACAGTGGTCGGCTGCCCAAAAATGTCATTTTGACAAAAAATAGTGCCGACCGGCAACAAACAGTGCCGACCGGCAAAAAAGATTGCCGATGGAAGCAAAATGGCCTGTGGCTATGGCCGGTGATGTGTGGGGATGCCTCACAAGGCATTCCCTGCCCCTCCAAGGCAAAACACAAGTGTTCG